CTCCCTTGTGATATAACAATCCCAGTCAAACATGTCCTGCTTGACTGTTTATTTTTCCATCACAAAGGATAAATATTTCAGTGTCAAAATGGTTAAAGATCTTTTTAATAATGTTAACTGTCATTTCGTTATTGATTTCATAAAAGAAATTGACCTGATCGATAATGTTTGATTGATTTGTTTTGTAGATACATGTATATGCATTTGTGATATAGTCGACGTCTCGTCCGTCCGTCCGAAATCATTTTGTTTCTGGAGCATAACTCAAAAAACGTTCAATATTTTTCAACACAAATTGGTACATATACCAAAAAGAACCGAAAGTGGTGCCTTTTGCTACTTACAAATTTTTGTCAATTTTATGTTTCGCGGTTTCCATGGAAACGATTCGGACTCTGTCTCAAAAGGAGGGGTGCGGTTCGTTTCCGGAACGCAACTCGATAACCGTTCAATATCTTTCAACAGAACTTATTAGATATATGAGACATACCCGAAAGTGGTTCCTTTTACTATTTGCGGATTTTGGACATTCAAATTTTCCCCGGTTTCCATGTAAACGATTTGGACTTAGGGACCGTTAATAATTTATGGCTGGTGTGTGTGTGTGTGTGTGTGTGTGTGTGTGTGTGTGTGTGTGTGTGTGTGTGTGTGTGTGTGTGTGTGTGTGTGTGTGTGTGTGTGTGTGTGTGTGTGTGAGATATGAGCATTTTTGTGTAGAAGCATGTACAATGTGAATGACAACCCCCCCGTAAAATTCATTTAGGTAGTGATAAAAATTTTTTATGTTCATTATTATGCTCGGATTAGGCTTCTGATTGTTCATTATAATGTGGCTATTCTCTTCATAATTATACGAAGAAAGGTGAACGTAAAAATACCCGGGTACAGAACTATCAGAGGGATGCTTGCGATTGGGCAATTTTTAAAATAGTTTGGTACAGTTCTTGCAGAAATAAAGTGAACAGTTTAATATTCTGCAATGGGATTATTGGCAATATATAGTGATTACGCCGTGTATATTATAAAAAACAAAACGCGTATATCGTTAAACGTTTGTCACTAACACATACCTAGTGAATCATTAAACACCATTTTTAATAAAAAGATATAATACACATTTCATAACCGGAATAATTCCTAATAAATATGTGTGTATATACATTTAAAAATATATTTAATAACTATCCTAAAGTAAAACATTCTGTTGTACTAATATACTAGTATATTTTAAAGTATTTTTCTTTGAGAACATACAGATCTTATCAAATCTTTAAAAAATATATGGAAATAATCTCTATCAATTTATAGCATATTGGAAGAAACATTCGATCCATGTAACCTCTGAACTTTATACATGGAGGGGAAAGTATGCAGATTAACCTATGCTGCTGTGTAAAGGATATTGTATTAAAGGAAAAAATAGTCATTCACAATGGCAAAATGATATTTATACAGAACTATCTAAATATAATTGGATGGAAAACTATATACCGTTAAGAACAACGAATAAGACAAAGTTAAGATTTCCAACACCATAGTATTCATAGGACAACAGATAAAAAACTATTGAGCCACATATTCTTTCTGCAAATGAAACTGGAAATTCATTTGTTATTTGAATCCAGGTAAAACTAAAGCTACAATGTAGAAATAGTTGGAAATAAATCCGGTACTAAACTAAATGTAGAATAGAAGAAGAAAAATGTAATGATGTCTGAATTTAATATACCTTGCAACAAACATTACGTCTACACAAACAATTATCTCCATAATACTACCAAACTAAAACATACCTCCTGAAATCTATATCATTCAGAAAAATATACCTCATACACAGTCTGTGAATACGACAAATTTGGGACCTTGTTTTACATAACCATACTATATTTTACAGCTATGTCTAAATTCTCCGCAAGGTGTTGAACTTAAAAAATCGTGGTCCCGGGGAGTGAAAGTGACGTGATCGTGCCCCCTTAAGTGTCCTGTGCACTGATTAATAAGTGCCGTAGCTAGAAGCAGTTCATCACTATCGCAATCTCGCTCAACGTTCATTTTTCGGAACTTCAGAGAAAATAAACCACGGCATCCAGTGGGTTAAGTCTTCTGTGCACTGCGTTGTACATGAATAAATCTGATTGATCCCATGGACACTTCTTTTTGTTGAGATATGAATGGAATCCTCTCTGCAAGGAAAATCTGTAAATTATGACATAAAAGCAGATAAATATAATATACATTAAGTGTGATTCACCCAAAGTACGAGAGCGCGAAACGGGAGGCGTGAGTGAGTATTGCGTACCGCTAATGAAGAACTTCCTCCGATACGGACTATAGAAATTTCGCGCATGCGCACAGCATGTCAACATGTCAGCTCACTATCGATGAAACAAGAACTCAACGTGTTTCAGGCGCATTAATATCTAAATGTATAATCACAAAAATATGACAGTTACGTATATGTATAGGGAAATTATCTTGGAGTACATCGATATCGACTTTTCAGTCAAAAACCTACAGGAAATATATTTAAAAACTCTCAAGAAAATACGAGGGGTAATTGGCCACTAAAATCTGAATAGGATTTATGAAGGTGGTGTTCTCGGCAGCGATGTAGGGTCATGTCTTGACTGTATAGGACCGCATCGCGGCTCTCGGCTAAGACGACGTGTGAAAAAATAAGGTCAATTCATCCTTTTTGTTTTATTTCTGCATTCATTCTCATTCGGTTTACATCTTCAGAACACGTTCTGAATACATGTGACACAGACTTGACAACTTGCGCGTTGGTGCAAACAACTACTTTCAACTTCAAGACGAAAAGGACGCAATTGAACGATTGACTGCAACAGGATAGAATATATTGTTTACAACTGTTGCTTATCAAATAAACATTAAATACATGTATTATGTTGAGAAAAATAAAGTGTTTCGATATCATTTTGTATCACCTCTCCCTCCACATTCTACCCTACAGTCTACACTGCACGATATCCGCGTCCGCATGCGACACTACATTCACAGAAAAACCGAATTAGAGTTACCTGCCATGACCTGAGTGGGAATTGACATAAAGCGCTCATAATATACGTAATCAATTTGGCCTCAACAGTAGTAAAGGCTAAAGACCCATAGCACACGGAGTTTACGATGCATTATTTTTAGAATTATGCATGTTTCGTTCAACATTTTGAACACAGAACTTAAAAGAAACAAAAAAATACAGTTAGCTGTGATCGAAGTAATTACACAGAAGATAAATGCTGTAACATATGACAGTTTTGTGGAAGTTCCTGATACCGTTTGTCATTATATAGCAATATGATATTCATCTGTCAAAAGTATCCGTAAATACTTTTCATAAATAATCCCATTAATACCCTTTGTACCTTCTGTTTATGATAATAATAATAATCTGTCGATCTAATTTGCGCTAAATACACACCGACGGCATGCTCATAGCGCAGAAATATTATTACCCCGCTAAAAGGATAACAGTCGCATGACTTATCCCACCGGGTACCCATTTTCTGTTGGGTGAACAGAGGCAAGTTTGAATAAAACTCAGTAACATGCATGTTTATAACCGCTTCGGAATTTAGTGATACATCCATAAGGTTTTTTACCCGTTAAGGTCCGGGTTAGAATGAATCTTCAGTAACCCATGCTTGTCTTAAGAGGCGACTAACGGGATCGGGTGGTCAGGCTCGCTGACTTGGTTCACATGTCATCGGTTCCCAATTGCGCAGATCGATGCTCATGATGTTTATCACTGGATTGTCTGGTCCAGACTCGATTATTTACAGACCGCTGCCAAATAGCTGGAATATTGCTGAGTGCGGCGTAAAACTAGCCTCACTCACTCGCCATACGGTTTTTATCGGAAGTAAATAATATTTAACATCAGAGAGCGAACTGAAGGTAGTAGACCTGATTAATATATAACAACGAAACATTGCTTGCCTTTTCACTGGTCTAATGTCTATTTAAAAAACACAGTATATCGCCGAACTCTTGATCTGACCAAACATAATGTAAAGCGAATTAATACACTTCATCACAATCTAGGCATAGCTGGTAGGGTGATCGTGTGGCTGTGCAATCTCAGGAATTGCTTTGTGAATGTTGGTGCTCAAGCTTCCTCTGCATGGATGAGGGAGTGAGTATTGTTTTTTACGCGGTTTTTAGCAATATTCCATCAATATCACCGCGGAGGACACCAGAAATGGACCTCACTCATTGTATCCATGTGGGGAATCGAACTCAGGTCTTTAGCGTGACGCGCGGACACCATAACCATTAGGCTGCCCCAGCGCCCCCTCTGCATGACATACTGGACGTCTTTGTACAGTTCCACCAGATTTTGTTCTTACGACTTGCATGCTTACTGCTTTTATAACATTTGAGAAGTCACCCAGTAACGACTATATTAACAAAGCATAATCAAAGTCATATACTAAGTAAATAGTTTATATAAGAAACAGTTATAGAGCGTTTTCTAAGGAATTTTACAACCTACTCATATACAATATTGTATTGTGGCTTTTTTTCCTGTGAATTTTTATCCCTGATTTTTTTCCTGTGACTTTCTTTCCTCCTTTCCTTTAAACAGGGACTACACTATTTGGCCTGGTTCCTGATTATAAGGTGTTATAGGCTAACATTCATAGTCCGATTGGATTAACAATATCATCATTCAAATACATCAATATGTACAAGTATGATTAAACTGTTTATACGGAAATTATCTCTAAGAATGGACTATGATAAGTCAGCCAAGTACTTTTCTATGGATGACGATCGCAATCTGCGTCAGCTATTGCAATATGCCCAAACGAGAGGATTGACCTGTTAAAATACCTCTCAGAGTAGATGTTGAATAATTGACAGAGGCTTTAGATGAAATATATGAATGTGAATATGAACACAAATTTGAATATGACTGTATATAACTTTCAATGTCCTTATCAAATGCATTCTATTGTGTTTCAGCTTCGGTCACAATGAATTACAAGTACAAAATATGTTTCGTAATATGCCTGGTGACATCTCTTGCTGCTACAGCGTTCTACATGACAAGTTCTCAATTAGAAGTGTTTCTCTTGCAAACGTCCAGTTCAACAACACTGAAGACAAGACAAGTGTCCCTCTTTGAGGTGTCTCTCAAGTATCCCCTCGTGCTTCATAGACGGAGTGTGAACATTACTTCAGCAGGTTACGAAACGCGGAAACGTATTGTGTGGATGAACGTCCCACCTTGGTACAAGACTGTAAAGTCCTTTGACCACTGTTACCTTCGTTCGTGTGAAATAAGTACGAACGAGGCACACATTTCATCTGCTGATGCTGTGATTGTCAATGGCGTTAATTTGCCTTCATCAAAACACCCAAACACCAACATGAACCAGGTGTGGATTATGTATGGGTGGGAAGCACCTCTTCACTATCATTCAAACACGATTTTCCGTTCTGACTGGAATGGACGTTTTAACTGGACATTGACGTACCGCCTGGATTCGGATATACCCTTTCCTTACAATAGGATCTTGTATACAGGAGGCACTGTGAATATAAGTGATGTTCTAAGACGAAAAAGCAGATCAATAGCTTGGTTTGTTAGTAACTGTGGTACTCCGTCAAAGAGGGAAGTGTATGTTAAAGAACTGCGGAAATATATTGATGTCGACATATATGGTTCCTGCAGATATAACATGAGTTATCACTGCCCCAAAGAAAGGCCCTTAGAGTGTCTTGGTCTGTTAAACACAACATATAGGTTTTATCTTTCGTTTGAAAATTCCCTTTGTAAAGACTATATCACAGAAAAGTTCTACAACACGTTCATGACTTCAGCTATTCCCATCGTTCGTGGAGGCGCTAACTATACACGTCTTCTGCCAGAAGGAACCTTCATCAACACGGCATCGTTCGACAGTCTCAAGAGTTTGGCGAACTTTATCAAGTATTTGGAGAGAAATGAGACAGCTATGGGGGGATATTCTAGAAAAGAAACTCAAATATGAATACATTAGATCAGCAGAAACAGATTTTGATTGGAGGTGTCAGTTGTGTGCCAAGTTGCATGGTAATATTACGAGAAAGCATTACACAGATATGAAACAGTGGCTTAAAACCGGAAAATGCCTAGAACAGCCAAACGATCTGCCCTAATGCTTGGTATTGAAAGGAACTTGTCCGAATCATTGCATATCATAACGTACATTTAACAAGAAACAGTGGTTTGTTATAGGTGATACTTTACTGTTCTGTCCTTATGATGAAGTTATGAACAGCGTTGCTCATTGTTGTCCACTCGTATACATCGATCTGCAGTGTAGATGTTTCTGACTGCAGCGTAGATCTTGATTCATTGAAATATTCAATCATTCCTTTTCACTAAATCTTTTGTTCGTCTTACCTGAATAAAATACGGATACACACGTAATTGTTTCTCCCATGTGTGTATTTGTTATCCTATAGAAAATGTCAGCATAATATTTGGCTACTAGTCTGATGAATGTGTTTTATGATGACAAATACATTGTCAAAACAGGAAGTACGAGAATACTAAGCAGCAGAAGAAACGTCAGTTTGGAATTTTCCTTCGCAGAAACGGATAACTGTAAACTCATTTAATGTTTTGATTGTATATTTTTGGCAACATCGCCAACTTTACCTGAGCAAAGACATTTCTTCCCAAACTCAGAATGGAACTCAGGAAATGGTTTCAAAAACGCAACCTGATCTCGGAGATGGTACGGTGTTCTCCATGTTTTTCATGCAACTCATGCTGCAAATGCTGTTGACAAGCTCTAGCCCTATAAAGTGCACCCCCGAACCTGGTTGAAACATTCACATTACAACGTCAGCAGCATACCGTGTCTCACGACAGCTCAGAGGAACCAGGCGCTAGGAAGACTTGAAGCTGTCCACACTGCACAAGCCGTTGCCAATAACTTCCAGGTCACTGTTCGGACCATCTACAGGCTGCAGCAACGTTTCCGGGCCACCGCCACCACAAATGATCGCCTATGTACTGGCAGACCAAGGGTGGCCACAAGACGACAAGCGCCACAGGGACGTGTCACGCCTAGAAACAGCATTAGAAAGACATAGGACATAGGTATATAGACCCTACTCTAGTACTATATAAAAGGAGAGAGATGTAACGAACCACCCCCTCCTCAATCAAAGTTGGATTTCTTCACGTAAACTATTTTTAAGGCCCCGTCGATGCCTATGGGTCGGAAGCGAGATGATTTTCCTACAAAATGAGCTATAAATGGTCACAATCGGATCATTATTTCAAAAGTTATACGCCACGACTCACCGAAAACAGCTACCTCCGCAATTCCAAGCCAAAATTATGGATCACCCAAGACAGCGAAAACTCACCTTTTAAATTCGTTTATTAATTCCAGCCACGTTGACAGCACCTATGTAGGGCTAGATTCGATCGGCAGCGGCATTCCACGGGTCTAAAAACGTATTGCACATCTACAAATCACTTCCTCGACAGTAAGCAGGCATTTTCTCCATACCATCGGCAATCATACTCACTGGTCGGCCATAGATTGCCTTGACATTCAAGTGATCTGAGCAGATCTGCAGAAACTGAATTGGGACATCCGATTGGTGGAAAATATAATATACTGTAAGATTGTGACTGTTTGCTAATGGGCGCGAAATCTGGATTCTATTTTGGATGATGTAAGGAACAGTAAATTGTTAAGAATAATTTTAGAGGTTGTAAAAATGCATTCGATGTTGATTCATTTTTAGGAAATTATATTTATAAATGTTTAACCTCTAAACTTATTCTTACCAATTTACTGCTCAGGTCACTTAAATGTCAAGGCCATCTATGGCCGACAAGTAAGTATGATTGCTGATGGTTTTGGAGAAAGTGCCTGCTTACTGTCGAGGAAATGATTTGTAGATGTTGCAATAAGTTTTTAGAAATAGTTTACGTGGTACAATCTAACTTTGATTGAGGAGGGGGTGGTTCCGTCGTTACATCCCTTTCCTTTTATATAGTACTAGGGTAGGGTCTATATACATAAAGCGTGACACGTCCCTGTGGTACTAGCATCATGGTATGGGGTGGAATAGGCCTGAACCAGAGAGTGGGTCCTGTGGTGTTCCAGAACCTTGGTCCAGGGAGAAGAGACGGCATCACAGTGTTGCGCTGCAAGCTCTCAGACCCCACGTCATACCACACTTTGTACGTCACCGGAACAACATCTTCAAGCCTGATAACGCCCGGGCCCATACTGCCAAAGCTACACGAGACATCGTACAGCAGAACGGTGTCAACATTATGCAGCAGCCAGCCCTTAGTCCTGATTTAAACCCAACTGAACATCTTTGGGATGAAATTCAGAGGAGACTGAACAGTGTCATACCAAGGCCGAACTAAGCCGATTTATTGCGCCAGGCCTTTCTTAGAGTTTGGTTCCAGGTGCCAATGGCCTACATCAATCGATTGGTGCACTCCATGCATAGACGCTGTGCTGCAATTATTGCCGCTCGTGGTGGTCACACTAGATACTGAAGTCAAGAGTCTGAATGGGCTGCAAACGTTCACGTAATGTCTTGAAATTCTGCTGAGTTAAGCATTGATGTGGCAACATATTGTACACAAAAAAATGTATTTGATCCGCTTATTATGTCAATTTCTGTAATGATTTGATTACAGTGCCTATCTCATTTTGAATTCGCACTGACGTTTTTGTTGCTGCTGAGTATATGATATCAGCAACACAAAAGAATGCTACTTCTACCTTCTCCCATATTAACAAATTCATGCAGTAAAACGCACAAACGATTACATGAGTGTCAAGCGCGATTTGAAAATTTGATTAATTAATTTAAGAAGATTATATCAGCTGTATTCACAGGGAATAAAGTAATTTATCTTACCTCACACATAAATGTCGCCTTCTGATTGGCTGAGCTCTCTTCTATTGTTTTCAATGTACCCTGCTTACAAGCGAGTAATATTTCAATGTACCCCCTGTCAATGGCAACTAATTTGGTACTTCGTGGTAGTAATTTTTTATCTATCTCGAATAACATTGAACCACGTATCATGTACGGAAATTACCGATGTTTTGCGAATGCAAATCGATGGAAGGGAGATAACTCTAAATTGTTTTTCTTGTCAGCAAAATCTAGCGATGGCTACAAAGAGATTTGTACCCGTGCTTCAAACAGTTCATAAACAAACATCGAGGGTACATCAACCCATGCTCCCCTCGTGACCAGTGAACAACTTATATTTCTCAGTTAAAGATAAGTTAAAGAAATCGGACATACATGCACTCACAGCACTCATATCATCACAACGTAAACCATCTTACATGAAACAATCAATTACAAAGTGCACCTTATTCCGGACAGAGTTGAAACAAAAAGAACAAGTTCGAGCCTACAAGGGACAAATGTACCCCATTTCTCAATGTTAATTGGGAAACTACCACTGCTATAAAACAATCAATTACAAAGTGCACCTTATTCCGGACAGAGTTGAAACAAAAAGAACAAGTTCGAGCCTACAAGGGACAAATGTACCCCATTTCTCAATGTTAACTGGGAACTGCTATAAAACTGCCAAATGTTGCCAAGTGTTCCTGTGGATAAGACACATGGTCCAGGCGGTAGATTTAGCAATCTATAACTGACCATTAGGATTATTTACTTCCTTCCAGCTTAAAAAAACCTCATCCACTGGACATTGATCAAGTCGTTTAAATAAGAAAGCCAGTTGTCACTGGGTCGTAAAACTATTCTAGTCATGGTTTAGTGCGCGTTTTCCTCTCCCTCAGTTGTCCGTATTCCATTGCCTTTCGGCAAGATCTGTTGGTCCAGTGTCTTTACATTCATTGTTATAGAATGTAATGATGTAACGTGCAATATCATAATCTGTAAATAATTACAAAATGTGCTGATTACTGCAACAACACTGTGACGTGCCACAGCATTACTCCTCTGTGTAATAACCTCAACCACAACTTGTATATTTTATGATTAATTATGAGGTGATCAGCCTTCAGTTGCTGGTGATCTATAGCCCGTTTTTATATTGTATTGTTGCTTATAGCGATATTTTTTTTATGATAGCGTACTTGTTTTAAATTAAGAGCTGTGATACTCTAGTAGTTTTACTGTCCTTCGATGACAGAATTTTTGTGTTCTAAATTTACTGATTTTAATGTTGATAAATTAAATTGCTCTCGTCACGATATGGCTGAAATATTGCCGATGTGACGTTAAATATTAACTAATCGCTATGAGGCATGAAGGGTGAATAATTATAAAAATAATGCATCGTAAACTCCATGTGCTATGGGTCTTTAGCCTTTACTACTAAAAGATCCATTCTATTTGCTAGTCTGAGTATAAGTCATTCAGAATGCTTGTCACAAATCTTTGTGGTGAAATATTTCGCAACTTCTTTGAATAAAAATATGTCTCCCCAAAAAGCGGTCCCTTCAACTTTTGGTAATTTATTTATCATGTTTAGTAAGGGGAATTGCTTCGTTAAAATCAAAACCAACACTACCTTGAACAAACAGTATTCAGGCAGGTGTCTGCCAGCGAGATATCATCCTATATAATATACTAAATAATGACATGTATTATCGACAGCCGTCGCACTGGCGCCTACTCTACCCGGTAAAACACGTATCATTTGGCTGTCAAATGTGCACAGGCTTAATGGGGTGTTGAAATATACGAACACTCAACTGTGTATTTAAATTCATAAGTGTGTTAAGCTGGCCATTGTTTTCATGTGATTTCTAGCATGTGTAACAAACGTAATGCAGTGAATGTAGGTTTCATAAGCCTTGAAATCTGGTATGACCACGGTTAACATATGTTATATTTGGGATTACATTTTCTTAGTAAAGTACAGATTCTAGTACTTTTGGGTCTCAACACAACAAAAGACATACGACATACCAGACACACCACCACCAGCCATGTCTGTACATGAACATTCATGTAAAACGTGCACCTG